CAAAGGTTCCCCCCACCTGATACAGTGCCTTCCTCAAAGAAGAAGAGTGCTGATTGGATGGGAGAGGCCCACATGACTGGCCCAGTCAATGCAGTCATGTTTTTCACACATATTGCCTGCAGCATGGGCTGCATCTTACATGTATTGTGTGTTTGCAATTTTAGATTTAGATTATGGCTGTCAGCTGCCTTGGGCTCCTTTGAGAGGAAGAGCAGGATATGATATAAACAGATAGGGAAGCAGAGAGGACACTTCTACCTACACATATGAAGGGTGAGGCCATACACTGCCCTTGCACTTCTGCACACCACCCTTTTGATTTCCTAGTACCTTGTGCTGCGTAGAAGCCTGCAGGATTACAGCACAGCTTTGTCAAATGTTTCTTGTAATGTAACATGTAATCGTAAAAGCAACAGGATACCAATGATAGCACTTAGTGCTGTCGAGAGTGTTATTTGTAATTGAACAACTGCTATAGTAACAAATTTTAAATCTCAGGCTTGTCTCTTTCCTGGCAGAAAAGGGATTGCCTCTGTGTGTGCAGTGCCCAATCATGGGGAAATATTAATATGAAAAATCAAATTGATCATCAACACACAGATCATTCCCCACCCTTCTTGTGCCTTTTAAACTGAGCTCTGTGAAAATGGCACAACTGGGATGTGGAAGTGAAATGTATTTTTTTAATAAAAAAAAAAGCATTCTGCTTTTGATGTAATGTGGGAGAAATCTCTTGGAGCAGATTACTTTTATGAGCTGTAGTAACACTTAAGGCAAAGGAGAAGGTGACAGAGAATGAACAGAGCACAGGAATGTTTCAATGGCATCTCGGAGGAGAAGCAAGCAAAATTCATTGGGAGCGCAGGTTGCAATCCACAACCATTAGAATCAGTAAAGGCTGCCGCCTGGTTCAGTGTGATCAGCCCACAGAACAAGGGGGAATTCAATGCAATATATATGCTATGCAATATTTCTGTGGAAGTTTTTTTTTTAAAAATCAATACCAAGCTTTTGATTGTGAGAATACATTTTAGCAGCATTCACCTTCCAAGATGCTTAAAATATAGATACTGATAATGCTTAGAGTTAACTCAGTCCTGGTGTGCAGCAGCCAAGTGAGCAGATGTCCCACTGAAATGGATGGGAAAGCTCTTGCAGGAAGAAGAACTCCCCGCCTGTACACTGGGACATCCTTACCTATGGCAAACTGTCAGAGCGATATGAATAACAGCTTTTTAAGCTGGGAGTTTCAACCTATGAAGCCACTATCATAGCATGGATACAGAGAGGGATTTCTGCAATGCATCCCTAAGCAATTTTGTGGGGGTCAAATGCAAGTCCCATTGAACTCAGTGCGTTGGAGGATATTGGCATTTGCTTTTGTTATGTATTATATGCCTTTTTGGTTTTAATCTGTCTTTTATATTGTGAGCCACCTTGAGTTCTTCAGATAATAGTCATAATAATATTCAAGAGTGTAGCCATGGCCTGAGAGCTTCCAAGCTAAGCCAAACATTGTGGCTCTGTTGCAATAAAGGTGTTTTTATCAACGCTGCTCCTTCTGTGCTCTCTACCCTCTATCTCTGCATGCTGGTGCACAGATGATTTTGTGCAGGCATAGGCAAACTCTGCCCTCCAGATGTTTTGGGACTACAATTCCCATCATCCCTGACCACTGGTCCTGTTAGCTAGGGATCATGGGAGTTGTAGTCCCAAAACATCTGGAGGGCCGAGTTTGCCTATGCCTGATATTGTACGTCACTGCTGCTGGGCATCAAGTCAAGAGCCTGGGCAGGCACAGTGGTGAGTGGAGGCTGCTGAACTCCCTGTGGCACAGCATGGATCTCCTTAGGAAGACCGGAACCTAGAGATCCGCCGGATGCCAGGTCAGGCCATGGACCCATCTAGCTCAGCCTAGCTAGTCTACACTGTCACCCTTGGTAATGGTCAGCAGGGCAGGGCAGGGCAGCGGGGTGGCATGGCCCATCTGCCTTCAACATCAAGCATCACTCCAGGTTCCTAAGAGCAAGAAGAGCACAAGAGCTTGGCGAGGTACAGGCATCGTCACAGAACCATTTCTTTTTTCTTTCTTTTTTTGAAATCATTTCTTATTTGATTTTACAAATGTAAATTAATTACAATACCCAATACATATCCATAAAATGAGATTTCTCTGAATCTCAAGACTTCCCTCCATCCCTTCCATGGGTCCTATTGTCAACATTTCCAACTAAATATTATTTCATAGTTTATGTTTTGGATCTATCCATATTGCCCATAGTATTTTTTGACATTACAAGTGAGATTAAAACCCTGCTAATGTCCTAACGGTCAGACGGCCCTTTACTTTTTTAATGTTTTCATCCACTTACAGTGGTCTCCTAAATAAATTATAAACTTTTCCCATTCTTTCTTGAATTTCTTGTTTTCTTGGTCTCTGAGTTTTCCCACTCATTTTTGTAGTCTAACATCTTAGTTTGCCTTTCCTCTCTGGTAGGGACTCTATCTTCTTTCCATCTCCGGGCTAGTAGCATCCGTGCTGCTGTTGTCGCATAAATAAAGCATCTTTTCTGCTCCTTTGGAATGTCGGTACCTATAATTCCTAATAGAAAGGGTTTTGTTTTGGGTTTTTTTTACAAAAGTTATTTTAAACATTATTTTCAGTTCATTATATCTCATTTCCCAGAAAGCCTTTATTACCTCACATGACTTCCACATATGATAAAATGTACCTTCTTTTTCTTTACATTTTCAGCAGGTATTTGTACTTGTTTTATTCATTTTATTCTAATTTCAACACTCCTGCCATGATCCCTGCACTGGCCCGAGATCCCAGAGCCTCTCTGTTTCCCTTCACCCTCTCAGGAACTGGCAGTGATGCTTGGCATTGGGAAGGCAGGTGAACAATGCCACCCTACCTGTGCTACCCTGCTGTCCACTACCTGAGACCTCATGCATTCAAAACAGATACCTTCCCCTCCTTCTCTATTGGACATACTAACAGATGTCATAGTCAGTGGCTCCATAATCTTCCATCCCAAGAGTTGCATGTCTCATTCATTAGACCAGGACCCGGCACATAAGTCCAAATGATGCCCCTAGCAGTAAAACAGCCCCAATTCCCCCACTTTTTGTTGCCTCCATTGGTGATTAAATGAGACAGCTTGCTTTACACACTGTGGCTGAAACACAGAGGGCCAGGGCCTATGAACACACAGGGTCATTCTGCATCCCTGAGGGTATCTCGGGAATAAACTCTTTAAAATCGTATCCTCATCAAACAGCCCTGGATCTCGAAAGTACAGCCCATGTCCTGACTCGAGTTTCCGAGCCTTTGTCTCACGGTTTGCATTAGAATTGGTGTTAGAAGCAAGTTCCCCATAAATTGAAAAATCACAAAAAGGGGAAATCGGCAAGAATCTCAGTTCAATGTAACATGAAACTGCCCACAGCTAACAAATAACAAGGTTTATTCAAAGCCCTAAGATCCTATATGCTGTGCGCTGTAGGCAATCTTTGAATGATGCCTGCGCTGTGGTGCTCAGTGGAGAGAATAAGGTTGTCTACCCCCATCTAGTGGTGGCAACCATCAAAGGGAACTGGGAAACTGCGGCATCCGAGTTTGCTGCTGCGACGAGGGAAGCGACAATTTTCCTATTAGAATTAAATAATTAATGCTATTAACAGCAGCTGCATAGATTAAGTAATTGAGGCTCAGGGAGTTGTTGATAGCACTAATTTTAAGGGCAGCTCTAAATGATTTGACTCTACTTTATGGAGCATTTTATACGTTGCCTAAGCTTTGTTGGACTCATTGACTGAAAAAAAAACTACCAAAATCCTCTAGAGGATTACCATAGTTCTCAAGTCAGCAAACTTCCATAAATATTTTACACAAGTTGTTCCGCACACATAATAGCTGTTGAGATGACCAAAATAAAATAAAAATAAAAAGTTGTGTGCTGAACGTGTGCTATTTATAGGGAATAGCAATAACGTATCCTGCGTACTGCCAGCAGTTACTTTCAGAAGAACCCCTGAGCCTCTTGGGCTTGCCGATCGGGAGGTCGGCGGTTTGAATCCACATGACAGGGTGAGCTCCCATTGCTTTGTCCCAGCAACTGCCAGCCTAGCAGTTTGAAAGCATACCAGTGTGAGTAGATAAATAGGTACCGCTGCAGCAGGAAGGTAAATGGCATTTCCATGCGCTCTGACTTCCGTCACGGTGTTTCATTGCGCCAGAAGTGGTTTAGTCATGCTGGCTACATGATCCGGAAAGCTGTCTGTGGACAAATGCTGGTTCCCTCAGCCTGAAGCGAGATGAGTGCTGCAACCCCATAGTCACCTTTGACTGGACTTACCCATCCAGAGGTCCTTTTACCTTTAAGTCCTAAGTACTTTCAGAAAATTTGAAACCGCTCAACTTTTATTTCAGACCATTTTCTGCTTTTGAGGACTGTGCAACTTCATGTGCATACATTTCAATGAGACTTATTGTAAGAGATCAGACCAATGGTCTGTCCAATACCGTATCTTGTTTTCCACAATGATTAACTGGATGCCCATGAGAAGCCTACAAACAGGACACCAAGGTATTCTGAGGCAGCATCCTGAAGGTATCATATAGATATCATTACGATGCCCATTAAAATGTTGTGCCCATGCTCACATGCATCTTTAGAATCAGACATATGCATCTCCTTCACTGCCTCTTTCATATAGGAGATTACGAATAAATCTCTTTAAGGTCGGTTTTGAGTTCCTAGACTCATGAAGCACATCTGTCTTCATCATACTTTTGGGGACAGTTGTTTCATACATTTTTCATAGATTTGCCTTGTTTGTGTATGGGAATAGTCCACCTGATAGGAACAAGTATTCAAATCCCATGTACACATTTGAAAGCACTATTCTGTTGTACTTCTTACCAGGTGAACAAGATTGTAGAATTGTAGAGTTGGAAGGAACCATGAGGAATTTTTTGGCAGGAATGTGGAATCTTTTGCCCAATGTGGAGCTCGAACCCACAGCCTTGAGATGAAGAGCCTCATGCTCTACCCACTAAGCTATCCCATGTTGATGAAGAATCAGTTGCTCCTATATTCTGATACAAATTATGTCCAAAAACACACACACAACCTTTTCATATATGGCATGCCAGGAAGGGATAAAGGTGACTGACCTGAAGAAGAACTTTCCATGTGACTTTATTATATCCAGAGTCAGAAAGCCTAAAGCCATGTTTGCCATGACTGCCCCAGGGCCCCATTCCCTCATAAACAGCCTTCCAAGGGCCAGGGCCAAAAACGGGTATGGCCAAAGGCATAACGGGCTGAACAGCAGGCATGACTCTTACCTGTGTATAGCAGGTTACATTCCAGCCAGCCAAACATTCTCAAGGAGGGTGTGGAGCAGGGTCAGTGAAGAGTGTATCTGAAAGAGTGTCTCAAACCCCATCGTTCAGCATGGACACTGAGGTCCAGCTCTGAGGGCCTTCTAGCAGTTTCCTCACTGCAAAAAGTAAGGTTGCAGGGAACCAGGCAGAGGGCCTTCTCGGTAGTGATGCCCGCCCTGTGGAATGCCCTCCCATCAGATGTCAAGGAAATAAACAACTATCTGACTTTTAGAAGGCATCTGAAGGCAACTCTGTTTAGCGAAGTTTTTAATGTTTGATGTTTTATCGTGTTTTAAATATTCTGTTGGGAGCCGCCCAAAGTGGCTGGGGAAACCTAGCCAGATGGACGGGGTATAAATATTATTGTTATTAGGCCTAGGAAGGGGGGGGGCTTTCCCCTGTGGGCTTGATAGAGAGGCCTAGAGAGCCACATTTGCATGCACCTCCTGACCTCAAGCCCCCCACTCCTGCTCTAAACAGAAAGCAACAATTTTATAATTGAGAACTATGCACAAAACGGCTGCCCAATTTAATTGCTTCATGCACACAGTGCATCTTGATGATGTTCAGTGACTCCTTTCAATAGTGCTTCTATTGACTACATTATTTACCTTGTTGTTGCTGCTGGGGGTTTTTTTAAGCAGCCAGGAAATGTATATGAGAATACAAGAAAAAAAGATCCAGCACTTTTCTAGAATTCATGTCTTTCACTCTCTGATCTGAACTGTCTGACATTACAGAGATGTGGATCTTCTGTGTGCATCCCTAGATGTGCTTTTAAAATGTGTGTCTCCCTAGAGGTGCTTTTAGAACGTGAGTGGGAAAATAGAGGAGTAGCACAGTTGGTACGATGCAAACAGGGTCTAGGCGATGAGCGTAGTTTAAATACACAAACAAGACACTGAGATTTTTGTCTGATTACTTGCTGGTAACACAGATTACTGGTCCAGAAGAAGAAAAAAGCTAAGACTACTATCCATCAAGAATCTCTTTGCCCTAAATATGTCAAACTTTTCTGCTTTGTTGTTGGTTTGCTTTTCCCCCATGAGCCTGGCCTACTTTTTCATCTAGTTCTTTGTATAACTTATTAAGTTTTAGCTCTTGGCAATGACCACCACTAGATAAACTCCCTGAAATTTTCTATTATTTGAGCACTCCACCAAATCCACTTGTAGTAAATACAAATAAGATATTTGACAGTTCTGTTTTTAAATTGAAGTATTACTGCTGATGTTTTAGAGAAAGTTATATACAGAAACATCAAAGCGCTTTAGTTTCCCCTGTAACCTCTCTAACCTTTTTCAAAGTATTTATATGCATTTTGACAAATGGAAATGTAGGTAGAGGAATATATATTGCTTTTGGCCTACATTCCGGCTAAGAACGGTACCAATATAAAAACAGTCATTAGCATTTTGTTTCTGCATTGCTGCTTGTGTGGAAAGCTTAAATCTTTCTTAACCATTGCAGAGCCCCCGCATTACGAATTCCAAACAATATAGGGTAAATTCAAAAACCTGGCTAATGAACTGTTCCTGTGTCCTAGCTAGAGGGGGAGGACAAATTCAGTTCGTGTTTAAAGGCAAATCAACCTAATTTGCATTTTCTGAAACATTATGCGGAGTGAAACACATCCAGCTTTTCAAAGTCACACTTTTCTGAATTTTGCAATGCAGTTCTCCAGCCAAGTAATGTGTATGGAAATGCATATGCCAAAGTAAAGTGTGCATAGAACTGCATATAATGCACAATAAAATAGAAATACTAGGCAAAGTATACTTCACAAAAAATATGTACATTAAGCCAAATAGCAAACAAAAATGGGTGTGTTAGGAACAATTCACCCTAAAATGCTGGTGAAAATGTAATGCAAACTTCTTCTTTTTTTTTAAGTGGAAACATAGAGAGTTGAAGGTGGGGAAAATAGGAAAATGAGAAACACTGAAAATGACAGCCCTCATCCCAATCCAGCAAGAAACAAGGAAACAAAATTCTACGTCTCCTCTTCTGGACCAGGAACCACACATGCCAAAGGTGCTAGACATACATTAGCTGAATCCAGATAGGCCTTTATATACATGGTTTGAATTCCACCACACTGGATCAAGACAACATGACAACACGCAGTGCAGGGCTCACTGTGCAAGGTTGGAGCTCTGCAGAATACTGGATTGACTCTGCCAGTACCTCCATGCATCTCCAGGCTCACCACTATCCTGCCCTTCCCCACCTCATCCAGGTAAGCTGTTGTGATGCTGGTGTCAGGGAGGCAGCCCTGCAGCTTCACTCCATCACAGAAGCTGCTACTGGGTTTTGTCACTTACGAGTGCCTGGATCTCACACTGTGCAGGCAACATTTGTAAAGAGGAGCTCCACGAGTTGGACAAATAATGAAATCCCTTCCCACAGCAAAGTGAAGGAACTCCATGAGGCCTGACAATTTTCACGCAGAAGGAAAGAACAGAATGGTTTGCCTGAGCAGTGAGATACCCAGTCCCACAGGGAATTGGCCAATGCAAGTATATCTGCTCGAATGTGAATCAAACCCAGCTGATTTCCTATTTAGGATTCATCTAGTCCATAAGGAGACAACGATCAAACTTTCATGTAAATATACATCCCAAAACTCATGTTTTGAATGACATGGCCTTTTAAACCACATTTGAAAAACCCATTTGGCGTGGATTCTATGGCATCTGCAATCCTGGGCTTTTCTGTGCTATTCAATAAGGGAGCTAAATGGCAGCCGTTTTGTGCTGTGGAAATTGGCCACTGAGAAATGGACTGAGATCATCACAGGTCAAATAGCCTGCCAAACAGGTTATATTTTTGTGCCTTTACCTCCAGATAAACCCTGCACTGAAAAGATTGGAAAGGGCAGGAGGAAAAGGGAAAGAGTGAGAGGCAGAAATTAATTATGGACCTCTCTTTAGGGATGAGGGGCAAGGGATGGAGGAGTTGCAAGGAAAATAGCATCCTTAAAGATGGTTGTTCTCATATGCTTTTAATATATAGAGATTGTGTGTGTGTGTGTGTGTGTGTGTGTGTGTGTGTGTGTGTAGGTTGGGGAAAACAAAGAACTAACAGAAAGAGGAATCAACCCCACAGGCATTGTATCTTGAGCAGAAAAGAAAGAATACCAATTGGATGTGCAATATCAGGTAGGAATACTGCCTCATCTGAAGGATTTGATGGGAACTGTGCAACTGTTTTGTATGGTCTCAGGGTCATTCTATGCATTACATTTGCTAGGTAACCAGAAGCTATGCATGCCCTTTTATCCTTAAACAAAAATAAGCACAAGATTGTGCAAGGAGAGGAGGTTTAATTTTCTATTCCCAGCCACGACACTCCTTAAACTTACCCCTCCCCCCACTACACACACCTCTGCACAGTAGGAAAGAAAGAAAGAAAGAAAGAAAGAAAGAAAGAAAGAAAGAAAGAAAGAAATGGTCTGTGACAAAAGTGAGAATGTGTGTTTTTTTTACACAGGTGGAAGAGTCATGGGTGGGGTGAGAAGGATTAAGCCTTCGCTTTGTGCACTGCAGTCCTGGTTGGACTTCGAGTCCTGTGTGCTTATTTTTCAGGGGTCTTGCTTAGCACATTCCTTGAGTCTTTTTGCCTGGCTGGAATATGTTCATGACTCCTGCTTGTTGGATGGCAGATAGAGAGGGGTGTTTGAGTGTGAATAAACACTGTGGAGAGGCATGTTTTCATTCACCGCCCTACACACCTTTGCCTCTGGCCCTCCCAACACTGGAATGTGGCCCCTGAGAAGGTTGACCAGAATGGAATGTGATCCTTAGACTGAAAAAGCAGCCCACCCCCTACCCCCCGCTATACAGGCATGAACCATGTGCCTTCTGCTCTGAGATCTCTGGTGTACCCTGCATGCTTCGAAGCAGAGAACATAAGATTAGATATAGCACAGTTCATTTTAGGCCTTGCCTTGTCTGTCCCTTTCGCAGCCCCTCTGGCACACTGAGGGAATGGTCCCATTGGTGGATGAGAAGCATCGTCCAGCCTGAGTAGGGATGTCAAAGGAAGGCATTGAAAACAGATTTCCTTCTGTCTATCCATCACGGCACAGACTCTTGCTGTGATTGCTTTTTGCCTTAATTTTCTACAACTAAAAGGTTAAAAAAACAAGTGCACATCACTCACAATACATACATAAATTGTTCTGCAATAATTTATGTTATTTACATATTAATTGCTTTATAATTGCCACTGTCCCAATAGGTGCCTCATTGCTTTTCTTTTTTCAGAAGTGTTGTTTGCCACCTTTGCGTAACTTGTTTGTTGCTAAAAGCAGCCTCTATGCACTAAGATTGCAGTCCATATGTCTACTCAGAAGTCCCACTGAATTCAGAGGGGCTTAATCTTAGGTGAATGGAATTAGGACTGCAGCCTTAATCCACTTCCTACTGTGAGCTTTAAAGACAAATGTAATGCATTGTTCATCATAGTTCTTTTCATAAGGAAAGAAGTGGTCTGTTGTTACCTGTTGACTTTATCTCCTTCTCAAAGTGGAGAAAAACATCTGGATTTGCATCCATCCCCTCAATATTTCTTTTAAAATCTTGCCCACACCCAGCCAAATCCTAATATTTAAACCATACAATTTCTTGAGCATTAGTTTTCAGCAGACGCACATACAACAATTTTCTGAATAAAAA